CAAAAGGGAGAAAAGGAAAGTATATAAGAAATTTACTTTTCTTATGTACTTTCTTTTTTACAGACTGATTCTGCATTTGTTTTTGTTATTTGTTATTTTAGTCTGTACTCACAATATGATGAAAATGAATCTGTTTATTGACGACCGGCCGATGCAAACTTATTTACTTTTAGAATGTTTTTATTTATTACTTCGATTTTGTATTTTTTTTACAAATATCACGTACAGTATGTTCCTTTCTTGCCTGATTTTTTAAATTTTGAAAAATTTGTTAACATTTAGTAATATTTTTTTCTCTCCTAAAACCCGTGTCTTTATTAACCATCTCATCATAGTCCACCGTCAATAATACTGTTCATCCATCAGCATATTACACTTATTGGTAACTTTTACTCGAGTCGTAATTAGAATGGTAAGATAAATTAGTCTCAATTTTGAAGCTTTTTAGCGGGACAAATTCTTCTATAAAAATTTTCCATTTTTCTTAATCCGCAAAATCAATATATCTCTCTCTTTCCCTAGTCGCATCTTAATTACACGTATCAAAACATCACATCATACTCATTACACAGCAATAGAACGTTTCTGATCTTGTTTATTGGACCGTGAGCTGCATTTAATAGCTACTTTGCACTCAGTAACTGTGAAGGTTGTGTCAACAGCAGTTAAATTACAGGATATGAAAGCATAACATCTCAGTACTTGAGAATGGAACGCATGAGGGGGTACCATGGGCGCGGTAGTATAACGATAGGGTGGCAAAGCAAAATACCACGAGCCCCTGGCTTAAGCGAGTCTCTGGCCTGTATGTAGCCTTGAGTACAGTAAGAATCTAAAACTTATTGCAAAATTTTGTCAAAGAAATTGTATTTAGTCAATTTAAGAATTAGAGTATTAACTTAAGAATACACAGAAATTATATAAAGAAATTATTAAGAATTCAACAAGTAATTGTCAAGGAAAACCAAAAATAAACATTAATTTTAATAGTGTTGGTACTTACCAACACTATTAATGTTTATTTTTGGTGAACTTTTTTTAATAACTTTTTTAAACTTATTATATATATATATATTTCTTAAACTAAACTTTTTTAGTTTAAAAAAGTTTAGTTTAAGAAATGAATTACCACGGTCCTCGTTATAGTGTATTCTAAAATGACCATTGTATTGTAAATGGTAGTTAAAGTTTCTAGTAAGTGTGCAGTCAGCTTCAATCAATTTAAGAATTAGAATATTAATTCAAGAACATACAGGAATTACATAAATAAAATATTAAGATTTCAACAAGATATTTTCAAGGGAAACCAAAAATAAACACAACAAATTTTAATAGTGTTGGTAAGTATGCATTTTTACTTAGTGAATATATATATATATATATATATATATATATATATATATATATATATATATATATATATATATATATATATATATATATATATAATTAATAAAACTACAACATCGAACTTTTTTAGATAAAAGGAGAGAATTAAATACGACGGTTCTCGTTATAGTGTATTCTATAATGAGCATTGTATTGTAAATGGTAAACTTTCAAGTAAATGTGCAGTCAGCTTATTTTCTATTCCAAATTGAATAAAAAAAATCCTTGTATACTTTAGCTATGTTAGATAGATATACTATAATTTATTTGCGTCACTGCTGCTGCAGACAAATAATAACAGACATAGATAGATATATACAATAAAACAGATAAAAGAATACATATACAAAAAAAAAAATACATAAAAGAAGTAACATAAATTTTCCTTTTTTACGTGTACCATAGTAACAAAAAAGGTGACAACTCAGTTTATTGCTGTGCTCTCAAAAGAACAATACTCTGATATTCTGTTGTGGCCAAAAGCCAGTCGCGTGATTCCTTAACAAAAAAATATGTGAACAATATAAATTGTATGTGTCAATTACACTTACTGCTATTTAATATTTTTTTCTATATAAATAAATAACAGCTACCATCAGAAGAGAGATAGTCAGAAGTCAATCTTAATCATATTCAAGCACTCAAGCGATAACTTTTCCGCTACATACCTATTAGGTTCTCGTAAATCTCTGTATATTATCTATATTTGTTGTATTAATTATTTAATATCTGCGCCAATTCTGAAGCGATTTTATAATAACTTTTGCAATTAATTCTTTTTACTCTCGTATTATCTCCATAGTGATTTTGTAATAAGCCGCTATTTTTACGTAAAACAAATTATTGAACTATGACAATGCAATATTTAATAAGTAACATCTAAAAGAACGATGTTTCTAGTCCATTTTTCATTATAGAAAAAAATATTACTCCAGAACAAAATCAACCCACTCGTAAACACGACTTCGTATTCTAAATTTAAATATTTTCTATCTAATATGTCTATGTTACACATTTCCATTCGTCTGAGTATTAGGACGTGATAGATATCACTTTTTAGGGAAGATATTGTGCTCAAGTATTTATCATCTAAAGGACGGCTAACAGTTGATAATGAATTTCAATATTGAGAAGTGATATTACAATTGGTCGGGTCTGTGACCACAAGGCTCAATCCTCTTTCTATTGACTAAACCTATTGACGTATTTCTCCTAGCTAGTACAATCAGAACATTGACTTCTGAATTACGTTCACAGTATAACAATTTAGTAAGTTCTCACTGCTATGATTTCATTTTGGATTTTCATTATATTACTTTATATTAAATATGTAATAAGCTTATCTATCTCTTTACATTTTATAAGAGTTTAATTAAAGATAACAAGATTAAACCGAAGCTCAATAAAATTCTGTTGATATTTCCATACTAATTATTATGTATTTTAGTAACTTATTAGATTAATAGGCGGTTTTAAAGGTTTTAATATTATATTTGTTGATAAAAATATGGTATATTTATATATCGAATTGTTTAGTAACAATGGGGATTAACGCCCCCATTACTAACAATATTTTAAACCCGTAGTACTTAACTAGTTACAGTTTTAAGAATTCCTAAAGTACACTGCTGAACATAGGCCTCCTCCTATTGCGGTGGTTTCACCATTTCCAATAGTTAGCACGCTTGGCAGGCGGGTTGGCAACTGCAGATAGCCTTTGGTGATATTTTAAGATGGACGCCGCTGTCCATCACTCGGTTATTAAGTACACATAGTACAACGACGATTTTTTTTATACAACTCAGAATGGCAAACAGCGGCCCAGCTGATGGAAAGTGGTAATCGTCGCCTATAGACATGAGCAGTACCATGAACATAACAGAGTATACTGTTTCGCCTATGATACCCCCATGCGTTGCCATTCCTGAGGACTCATTCAAATTCAAGTCGTAAAGAAATATCGAATTCTTCATTTTGATTTGATTCTGATCAAGAATCATAAACGTAAGATCGCGTATCATAGCAAATTCTACTTATGTACAGGTATTTCATTTTTTTTTAAAAAAAGCTTAATTTATTAGAGCCAAATTAATCTTTGTTCACATTTATTTTGATAAAAATAACGAATATAAATAAATATTAAAAAAAAACTGATAAAAATATTCATGAAATTATGAAATAACAAAATCGCCCTAGTTTGAGAAAGTGGTAACAGACATTAACAACAATTAAGCTGTGACACATTACGATATGATACAACTCATTCATTCGTTACCACTCCTGAGGACAAATTTCAATGTTGCTCACACTTTTTAAATCCTTTTATTATTATTATAAATGCGAAAGTTTGTAACAATAAATGAATGGGTGAATGATGAAATGAACTACTGAATGGATTTGAATAACTCACTCACTCAATCCACTCACGTGGATGAAACTACAGGATATAGTACAAAATACGGCACGGAAACGTAATTACGTACTTACTTATAAGTACTGATATAATATTATCTGTGGTGTATTCGCATGAACCTCATCATAACTAAGGGAATGTGATATAGAATATTTTATGGTGTTGCGTATAAGGTTATGACCTCCGCATAATTCCCTTACCGTCTCAAATATGCATATGAAAATAATCTTATATCTAAATATATCTTCTGATTTGACGTCCGATATATTTGCCGAAATAGAAGACAGAATTAACCGTGTCAATGAAATATTATTTTGCTATTAAATGTTGTAAAATAATTTTGTTAGCCGCTTTAATTGCTTGAACAGAGATAAAGTTAACTTATGAGCATTCGCTAAGTTATAAATAAAAATAGGTTACTATATGTTTGTTAGTATCGTATTTTTGTGTATTAAATAAAGGACACGAAGCGCTGCCCTGAGGCTTCAGTCGTATGATAAAAGGCAATTCATGGTCTTTTGAATAAAAAGTATTCAATTATATTTTATATCGTTCATGTGGGTATTATATGTATGTTATTTATATATTATTATTCTATATTATTCTATTTACAAAATATTTGCTATTATTATCAAGTATTTATATGATATTTAATACATAAATCCTATATTTTTCCATTAGCTGTTTCCCGCGGATTTACTCAGATAAATCAATAAATAGAATATCCAATGTTAAGATATAACCTACCCGTGCATCAAAATTTATTCATATCTGTTCAGTAGTTTTTTAGATACAAAAGTAACAAACTTCCACCCACCTATCAATCCATCCATTTATCCATCCATCCATGGCTACAAATTTTTCCATTTATTGTATTAATAGGACTTATTTTGCTCATTATGTTACATCGTAGTTTTATTTTCTATTATTATGATATTGAAGTTCAATACATAAGTAAGTGTATATTAAAATTTGTTACTTTTATCAAATACGTAAATTATAAAAATTGCCATATTAGATAAAAAAAAATTAAGTTGATTTAAAACACCCAATAATTAACATATCAAAAGATATACTTATAATTCATTTGTACACGATAGGTGGAAATTATTATCCACCATTCGTGGATCAAAAGTGATTTTAGTTTTGCTAGTATCCCTAAAGATAAAAACACATAAATAAAAAATATGTCACTTACCATATTGTCATGGTAGCGTATGGTAACCAGCAACATGCGAAGACCGTGACAATGGTAACTGTCATTCGCAAAGTCCTCCGCCTCGCACGCGCCAGCGGCCTCTGGTCTGACCGTCTGAGGAGCACGCGGCTATGATCGGTCTGCTCGTACTTTTCTGAAAGTTACCAATAACGTGAACATGTGCTTTTAAGCGATTACTTAATATATAATTAATTTTTATTCGAGTAAACTTCATCCCGTTCACAGTGTGTGCTGCGGCATAGAATGGGCCACCCCTTCCTTCCCTGTAGGAGTCGTAGAAGCGACTAAGAGAGGACGTGGGATGGGCAGCAGCGTCCCTCTTAAAACATCTCTAAAAGCCTAACTGCGTTTGCCAACCCACTTGCCAAGCGTGGTAAGGATATATATAACTCTAAGAATATAACCTATGTGTCTACATGTCAGTTACCTTAGAAAGGGCTCTACCCTTTCACAGGATATATTGTTTTACATTATCTTGTTTACATGTTAATTAAGCAAGCATGCATAAACTAAATACAACTACTACCTCTTCGCATACACCGAATTCCACTCACGTGTTCCTCGATATTTTGTGAATTTGGTATATTCCAAAGTTAGACCTAATTTTAACGAAAACGTGCCGGAAACATATTTTGTTAATTTACCAAATACTGCGTAGTGCATCGTTTCTCAACCGGGGGGTCATGACCCTTGAGGGGGTCGCATTTGTTATTAAAGAGTCTGTCTTGAAAAATAATAAGACTTGGAAAGATTTGTTTTTACTATACCCCTTTCAAATGATACAATATCAAGACGTAATAAAATAAAATAATAAAAATTAGTTATTAAACGTATAAATAAACTATTAATTTAATAGTGACAGAGTGGGAAGACTTATTTAATTTTGGCTTTTTGGACGCAACATAAAAATGGTTGAGAAACAATGACGTAGTATTAAGGACAATCAACCAGAAATGGTTTATACATTATTTTATCTAATTTAATTTATATATATTTTTAGTGGATAAAGAAAAAATGTACCTAAGAGACTTTTAGTACTCCGTTTTTTCTGCCTACCTTGTTAAGAACTTAGCGTAAATTTAAAACCTATTTAACAAAATCAAAATCAACAATTTAGATATTTTAAATTAATATTCTCATCACAGTAATTTGTACTCTTTAATTTCGATTAAAAACAAAATATTTCATGATAATGACAGACACCGGGGCTGGTACGTTACTGTGCATAAATAATGTATGGAAATAAGAGTGTGATTTTCCGTCAGATAACTTTCAGATGAACCTTTGTAAATTTGACCTTCTTCTTGGTTATGCCCCAGATGTTCCTTGTTTAGTTTTGTATTATAGAATTCAAACTTGTAATTAATATTTTCAAGTCTTAGATTCTCAATAATTAGATCCCCTCTATCTAACACTTCACCAGTACCAACTCAATATTTTTTTCTTATGTAAGTTAATTTTTTTCATAAAATACATTTCTGAAACTTAATAGATTCACAATATATCTGTTAATAAGAACATTATTATGTACGTACGTACATATTAAGTATTATGTACCTATTACTTGCCATTATAATACAAAAAACATGGCGCGCATTAAAATGTTTAAAAAAATCGCGTCAAAAGCATTGGCTTGACCGTTTTTGATACCAACTCTATACTTTATTCAAAAACGTACGATGTAAGATTTCAATTTTAATTTAATAAAAAATGTCTTTAGTTAGGTACTTGTAAATTCCTAAAGTGTCATTTACCTGAGTAAATATTTCAAAGGTGAACGTTCCCAGAAATCTATCAGTAAACCGTTGAGATATGAAATGATTTTCTTGAATATTCTACATTATACAAACATTAAATTTGAATGAATAAATACGCTGATAAAGGACTTACAAGCGACTATTGAGGTCATGCTGTGAGTTTAACACAGATTACAATAACAGAGTTTACATCGATTTTATCATTATTATTGAAAACTTAATGATGGTTTCGAAAACTCATATTTTTTCATACAAACTATCAACGTAAATATAAATGCAGTCGTGACGTAAATTTTGATCTCACATTAGCCACTCTGGACTATCCATCAAATCTTGATTACTTCATGTAAACAATATAAAAATGTGTATTTTTCGTTGCAAAATTAATATGATATATTAACACGTGAATAAACCTTATTAATTGTAAAAATAATTCTGAACCGTCGACCATATAATATTATTTAAAATACTTGTACTTTGTCACACTGTGTTTATTAAATATTTTATTGTTTTATAAAAGCGTTTGGTTTCGAAATTATATCATCAGATATATTTATATATATATATATATATATATATATATATATATATATATATTACAATTACACCTGAATAACATTTTAATAAAGGTAGTGAAACAAAATACAAATATTTTAACTAATATAATATAATCAATATAATAAAGTTGTATCAAGAAATCACAAATAAACAGTGAATTATAACATATTTGTATAATAAATGAAGACGACTAGATTACATAGTTTTTTTAAAAGTTGCTTAAAAAGAGGGTAAACTAAAAACAAAACCTAACTAATCCAATATAGTCCAGCATAGAATAGGTCATCCTCTTCCTTTCCAGTGAGTGTCGTAAGAGGCGACTAAGGAAGGGCGAGGGATGGGCAACAGCGTGCCTTTTAAAACATCTCCAACGCCTAACTGCGGTTGCCAATCCGCCTACCAAGCATGGCAACTAACTACTGACAAACACTCCCTCCCCCAGGAGGAGGCTTATGTTGAGCAGTGGACAGTTAAAGGCTAATATGATGAAGCCAGCATGGTAGTAAATATAAGTTAATAAACCCCTTATGAGAAGACATTCATAATATAATATTTACTAGCAATTTCCAATAATATCTTTTAAAGAAATAATTTTACTAATTATAACATACATGTAACGATGGAGAAACAGAATTGATTGCTTCCAGGAAACTTTTACAATAGATATGTTTTATTAATACTATATTTGGTATGTAGGTAGGTATTATATGTATTTATAGTGTATGTATTTATGTAATATTTTATTATATATTTCAATATTTTATTTAACTGGTTTATGTATTAATAGTTGTAGCACTTCAGCTGCCCGCTAACGAAATGCTTTCTTACTCTACTGGGTTGACTGGAAGAGATCTCTGTCAGAGATAAGTCCGCCCTTGCTCACAACATTTATAAATACATTATTTTATATGTAACTTACAAGTGCAATAAAGAATATATATCTTCGTAAATAAAGGGACTGTAATTAATACGAAGTTCCAAAATAGTCTATATTTTTTTGTACATGAATATCATATCCTTGTCTGTACTGTGCGAATTATAACGATTCTACTGCATAAATAATAATATGTATTTACTTACATTATAATTTTTATTTAATTATTGTCTTTAATTTTGTCGCCAAATTAAAAGTAAACTACTTTTATTTCGTTGTACAAATGCTCAAATTATATACCTTGTTTGTATTAATAGTTAAAATTATATAGTTAAGGAAATATATAAATATACTGCCGATTGTAATGATGAGATTAGCAAAAACATTTGTCAACTATTACGTTATGCTGATGGCTGAGTTCTACACTTAACGAAAAATTTACCAGTTTTCACAAATTCGCCGAGCGTGTTAGAATCCACTGTAGCAAACTAAAACATTTTTATAATTCGATAAAGTAATAAAATATTAATTGTTAAGTTGTTATTGCATTTGGCTGTACCTCTGCAATATTACCAATATTACTAGTGCGTAATAATATATATATAAAAAAAAACTTCAATTGGAAACAAAAGTTGTACATTCAGCATTGAGGTTGACGACCATTACGGGTTTATTGAACTTGCAACAAAAGTTTTTCTAATACGAAGGTATACTCATATTACATTTATAAAGTAACCATTGTAATTTCTCACTTCTTTTCCGGTATCAAGAACAACAAATATAAGTATAAGTATTTAAGTCCTAAAATACATTATATCTCTTCAAAATATATTCAAAATAGGCAACAGAAAGGCAAAACGTGTTGTGCGCTATTCTGACCGATATTGAATTATATCGTTCATATTAAAAAAAAAAATTAACCAGAGGAAAGAGATTTCTTCAAGTCACAAACTGGCCAACCATAGAATTTTCTGTACTTTTACTCCACAGTTTTTAGTGTTTTTTTTTAATATTTTCTTAATATAAATATGTTAAAAATATAAAATATGATATTAACTATTTTTCCCCATAAGCCATTAATTGTCCACTTCTAAATATAGGCCTCCCCCATAAGGAGGGTTTTCTCGCTAGGCAGGCGGAATGGCGACCACGGTTGGGCTTCAGTGATATTTAAAAAAGTACACTGCTGCCCGTTCCTCGGCCACTAAGTTCCCCTTTTGCTTCTTACAACACCCACGAGAAATAAAATCATTAAATGACACTTAATAGATTTTTCCTTTCCAAATATATGCGAATTTCGTCCCAATATATTATAGTAATTCGATAAGTACACTACATCACATAAAATGCTAAAGAAAGTGGTAATATGTATAACGAGAATCAGTAGGTGAACCAAAACTTACACTCTATCCTGTACCGAGATATTTAAGTTTTGCTCCATGTACGTTCTAAGTCTTATAATTATTTTTGTTTGAATTGAAGCATTTGGTGTTCCAAACCAAATGGGAGACAGACGTGAGAGAGATGTATGTATTATTTTAATTTTAATTTAAACTGACATGATCAACTTACAAAAGTTATGATGGAATGAAAGTTTTTCTAACACTACAACCACTCTTTAGAATCAACTTCCAGCAGCAGTATTTCTGAACCGATACGACAACATAACCTTCAAGAAAAGAGCATATTCCTTTTTAAAAGACCGGCAGCACACCTGCAATGCCGTAGGTGTTGTGGGTGACCATGGGCGGCGGTAGTCACTTACCATCAGGTGAGCCGCATGCTCGTTTGCCCCCTGTGTTGTAAAAAAAAAAAAACACTCGGCCAGTGTAAAGCAATAACAAATACTTATTTTATTAGCTAAAAGAACATTATATAAAGTACCATATGTGTTAAATTAGAATAGAATCTATCCGTGTACTAAACTCTTTTCAAGTACGAGTATGTTCAGTAGTTTTTGCTTGATAAAATATCAAACATCCATCCATCCTCATACTTTTTTGCGTTTATAACAGTAATAGGATATGGCATAGGTGGGAAAGAAGGTATCTTTCTATTCTCATCTGAAAGTACTGATTAAAATTATTTACATTTTATATTAACAACGTTAATTAAAATACTAATTTTGTTGTTGTTGTTTTTGTTGTAACTGATATTTTCAATATCAGAATACTAACGAATTAAGTTTACAATACTGATAGATAAGTTTGATTGTAACAAAATATTTTGTATTGTGATATACTTTGTAGTTTGTATAGAGTTGTATATTTCTGTAATTGGAGATTTATACTGTATCGCTTTATAGATTGAAACAGTAACGAACTCTAATTGCCGAAATATCGAAAGGTTGACATCGGTCTCTATATATAGAATGGCATGCCATGAAACCATTCTCAACAATTAAATGTTATTTTTCAGGTACTACGTAAAAACATTAAAATCGATCAATATTGACAATCATATATTAACATAAAATTATCAAAAAGACAGTGTTCATTTTGTAGAAACATAACTTATTGTTAAAAATTAAAATATATATAAGTGCAATCCTGAAACTGCACTTAATGTTTTTTAAATACATTTATTTGATTTTATATATATATTATCTCTTTATTATTTCTTTGGTTTTACTAATTAAATGTTATTAACATTTAGTTAATAAAACTTAAAACTATTTTAGTATTACTTTATAATATTATTGTGCTTTACAAATATCTTTCCTTTAAATAGCAGGCTAATTTAAGTCTTTCGTAGTGCATTTTTTTTTTATATTTTGAACAAAATGGTAAATGTAAAGTTAGAGACATATTACGAGAGACTCAGAATAGTTGTATGTACGAGTATGTCGTTCCAGATAAAAAATAATTTTTCAAATCGATTTAAAACTGACGCAGTTATAAAGTAAAAAACAAAAAAAATTTAACCGAATTGAGAACTTTCTTATTTTTAAAGGCGGTCGAAAATATGCTTTTATTATATAATGTATTATATTATTTTACCTTGTATATTTATAAAAAGTAAAACTTGTTACCTGAAGTTTCTTGTGAATTTTTGGAGATTTCATAGAATATGCACGCGTAACAGATGGTAATGATCATCAGTGGAAAGAAGTACATAGCACATAGACAGAACACATTGTACGCGAACTCCTGCTGCTGATTAGTGAAGGCTTCGAAGGAGACGCACTGCTGGAAGTCTGGTACTCTTGGATGTTGCATAACTCGGAAGACGAGACTCTGCAACAAGCATTTTAGGCTTTCATTATTTTAAACCAAGATACCAAATCCGCGAAGTCCTTTTTACGTGGGGAAACCTATCATTACCAGACGGAAATTAAATTTAATTAATTATATTCTAAAATTAATACGAGGTAAAATGTAAACAAACTGTACAGGTATCAAGATCATTAGGAGCACCCAGTAACTACATGCGAGCAAGACGCAAATTATTTGATATTCCGTTAAAAAGAACAGAGTTGGCCAATGAAACTCGCATCTCTTATGCATTAAAACTACTCAATGATATTTTGAGCTCGTATCCACAATTAGACGTATCTGTCTCGAACTTGCTGGAGTTATTTCTATCATTGTTGTGTAGTTTTACGGTATTTTAATCTTATTAATATTATTCCTTTTAATTATAATTGTAAATAACATATTTTTGGGCTTATAACTTACAACTTAAACATATATTCATATATCTTTACAAACTTTTGCATTCATAATAGTAGTATATAGTATTATTATCTATGGTAGGAAATTATTTCATAATATAAGTTTCACGGCAGTCACTGTCGCGCAATGCAACTCAAGCAGCCGTGAATTTATTCATAATGACTCCTATAGAGTCAGAAACTTATAGATTAGTTTCTGAATCAGGTAATCTCCAAGTTATATACGTAAACAAAGTCAATATAAACAATTATAATACAGTATGATTGCCGTGTGGTACTACCATAGAATGGACCTCTCACACGGGAATTTAATGGTCAAGAAAGCATTTAGTAATGTTTTAAAAAGGATACTGGTGCCCAGTATTATTTTTAAAACATCACTAAATGCTTAACTGCGGTTACCGATTCGCCAATAAAGCGTAACAACTACTGGCAACACCTATAAAGGGGAGACCTATGTTCGACAGTGAACAGTGAACTAACCGGAAAATGATTCGTGGTAGTCATTATTGAATATGAGATTGTGTTCTGTATTTAAATGAAAGGCTTTAATTTAAAGAAATATATATATATATATATATATATATATATATATATATAAAATCAAATAAATGTATTTAAAAAACATTAAGTGCAGTTTCAGGATTGCACTTATATATATTTTCATTTTTAACAATAAGTTATGTTTCTACAAAATGAACACTGTCTTTTTGATAATTTTATGTTAATGAATGAATGAATGAAATTTATAGATTATAAGTATCTACGTATATACTTATTGTGAATAATATCAAACCGTTAATTATGATTAAAAGCAAATATTTGACTTTGCATCTTATTCCAATTAATATCAGTACAACGACCCTCACAATATTCGGCTAATTAATGGACCCTTACACGTGTCAGAGACATCAACTGTAAAACAACACATGTCACTTGTATGTCATCTGTATATTTTTATATCAATTAAGTAATAGGAGAAGAATCACGGCAAGCTAAATTAATGAATTATTACGTAACAAATAGGTAAAGAGCTCCTGATATATAAAATAATTTTAATTCTGATATCATCATCATTATCATCATATCAGCCTTTAACTGTCCCCTGCTGAACATAAGCCTCTCCTTAAGGGGTTTTGCCAGTAGTTGCCATGCTTGGGAGGTAGATTGGCAACCACAGTCAGGCTTTATAAATGTTTTAAGAGGGACGTTGCTGCCCATCCCTAGCCTTCTCTTAGTCGGTTCTTACGACACTCACGAGATAGGAAGGGGTGGCCTATTCTATGCCGGGACTACATGGCCATAATTATGATATATAAAGTGAAATTTTTTTTTCTAATATCGTAAGTGTGAACGTGAGGTAATTTGTTAACCCTTTGGTACCTTACCAGCTAAACTAATCGTTATATAAATGAATGTACATTCACATACTATTTACGAATAAAATGTAAAAAAAAGGAAACCTAATAGTTTTTTTTTAATAAAAAATATAATTAAATTAATATTTTTAAGTATTTGTATCACTATATTGGATTATATAAATAATTGGATGTTTAGTCTGTATCTCATACATTTATTTATTAACGAGTCGCCCGGAAAATATTAAAAAAAAAAACCTGGCAAAGCCGTCGTACGGTTGTTTTACCATTTTTAGTCCATGTCACTTGCTACTAATGTTGTTCTCTATATGTGAAAGAATTTTTAAAATCGGTTTAATATTTTTTTGAATTTTAAATACAACAATTCAAATCTCAATCAAATCATTATAATATTAGTTTAGATTCATTCCACTCATATCGTGAAAGTAAGATATCAAAACTAAATATTTTCAAAATTTTTTTAATTTCTTTCTTTTCTTATTTAAGAAAATAAAATGCTATTACAGTAAATAATTGCATGAGATTTTTAGGGAACTATAATATCTGTAATGCGGAAGATATATTTAGCTGTCAATATAGTGTAGTCACAGGGTAGTCGAATAAATAAATATCATCAATAAAATGAAGGTACAATAAGACCAGAGGGTGACAGCAAACAGCGTGTTTGAAGAGGAGGAATAAGAAAAGTTATTATGTGGCTTAATTGAGTTTTGTTATTATAATACTAGTAAACAGAAACAGTATTAAAATATTATCGGCATTAGTAAATCAGTGTTAAACGATTTCTCCAATCTTAAGTGATTTCAGATGATTACATACCGAAGGAGTAAGTTCAGACTTACAAATTGTTATACCAAATTAACGGTTACATAGAACACATGATATCACAGTTAATAACGATGTTTCTTCATTGTTGTAGCCCAAGGAAATGCCCTTGATTGAATCCTGAAGTTAAGACATTAAATATCTCTGAGGGAAGCCGTGGTTTGGTTTTGGCAGAGTTCCGCAAGCAACGTAAAAACTCTCTTGGCGCCCAAAATTAGTTTCAGTCCAATATAGATTTAAGTTGTGGTTTAATTTAACTTATCAGGCAGTTCATCTATTATATCTATTTGAACTGGTAAATGTCCCTATTATTTGCAAAACTACCCGTACAAGAAACAATGCTTTTTCAGAAATATCACGTAACAAATAGTTCCACCAGAAAAACCACAATATTCCCTTTTAATCTCTTTACATTCCTATTGATATTAATTACAAAAATAGCTATTTAAATCAAACAAAAGCGTAAACAGCTTTAAAAATTATTAGTCAGTTAAAAACTTCTAGTTCTCTCAGTTAGAAGGTTTCGTTATTGTTTTGTTACCGCTCTTTATAGTCAACAAGGCTTGCTGATATTTATATCGAATTTATTGCCACAGCAACAGTAGTAGGTACGTGATAAAATAATTAAATCTTCTTTGGATATATACTTTTTGTTAGGAATTAATTAGGAGAAACAAATACTTATTGAAATAATTTATTTAAATGTTAAAATGTACTTACTAAAGGTACAAATGTGGGCAGTTTATGGCTGAAATAATTAATATTTTTATTCATTACTTCATCCGTAAACTATCCAATGCTAAACATAAGCTATCTCCATAAGGGGAATTTCAGAAATTAATTAAGTCAATAAGTATAAATAAGTATTAATTTTGTCAAATTTTACCATTTAAGAATTCACATAGATTGTAATAGCATTTATCAATTATATATTTTTTTTATTTAGATGTATTTAAATACAAAAATTGGTAATATTTTTGGACTTTGATATTTTATTATAGACTTTTGGTCCCATACATAATATACTGTCTACAATACATGTATAAGTTTTGTACTAGATTTTTAAATATAATTTATCATTATCGTGTCAATTGCGTTTGATAATTTCAGAAAAAAAAATTATTCCATATTCGTATGGGTGATAAAACTAAGCAAAGCTTTATTAAGTGTTATTAATATGTTATTCGAGTGGTCCTGGCATAAAATAGGCCACTCCTTCTATTACTGTGGGTGTCGTAAAAGGTAATTAAAAGAATTTAATAGTAGGGGGATGGATAGCAGCGTCTTTCTTAAGACATCTCTAAGAGCCTAACTGTGATTACCAATCCGCCTGCCAACCGTGGCAACTACGTGGCAAAATCTCTTTATGAAGAAGGCTTATATTTAGTAAAGGACAGTTAACGGCTGAAATGATGATATATACAGAGATGAATGGAAATCAATATTCATCAGTTAAACTAAACTATAATAAGTTTACTATTGTAATCTTTTGGAGGAAATAATAAAGAATATCTATCTATATAAACATTTTTGCTAAAGAAACATATACATATTAAAATGCGAAAAAACTATTCCTTTTCATCCTAAGCTTGCCTGGAAGCTCTACTATTCAGCTTATGTTGAGCAGTATATACTAATACTTGTCTATGTGTTTATATATTTATATAGTACAGTAAACCACGTATTCTTTATCTTTTTCTCTCAATGCCCTCTATCCAAAGGTTGTCTGTTTTTGTATTGTGTACTTGCTCAGCGATAAGATCGCCTTTTGTATCACTTCACCAATACTATTTACTGTATTGTATACTTCTCTATCTAGTCTGAAGTATATGTCAAGAAATGAATTTGTTTTTTTTTCTTGTTTGATAAATGATTAGTAAATAATTAAATATTTTATTGTACATAAAAAAAAACACCAATTTCAATCGTGACAAAAATATTACTTTTAAAACATTTGATTTAAAACTAAACTATTTATTTAGATAATATTTCCATTAAACCAATCGGAAAGTATCTAGATACAAAAAAAATTGTCTTTCTTGATATAACTATACGTCTTAATTGGTCTGTTTTGGAATCCTGCAATAAGGAGGAGGGCGTTGATATTCGCGACAGAGTTTTATACTTCTTCAGCGTTTTTCAATAATATTGTAATCAATGTTTTTGTTCCAAATAAAGAATTTTTATTATTATTATTTCGTTTCAGGTAAAAAAAGAAACTTCCAAATCTGTTTATAAATTATGAAGTTGTGCGGTGACAAACATAGAAGTAAAAGTATAATCAAATTGAGAACATACTTTTTTAAAGTCGATTAAAAATTTATCTAAGATGCAAGCCTTTGCATGTTTTAAATGAAAAATAATATTGAGAAGTGAAAAGGTTATTGACTGACTCTTATTGTCCATTAGTTGAATGTCTCATTCATTTTCTTATTGCGTATTCAAAGATGTCTCCCTATATTATGTCTCGTTAACTTAGTTAACTTTATGGACACGACGTTTTTTACAGCTGAAAAAATAGCAATCTCTTAAGTAAACTAATGTAGTTAAATAATATTAAAATATTATTTAACTACTTTAGTTTGAATTAATATTATTTTTACTAGCGATCCGTTCCTTGACACGGGTATAATATTTATTTACATTTTATTATATTATAATGTAATAAGTAATATAATCATAAACTTATGCAATAACATAAATTTATAAAATATTTAAATGTACATGGCTTGAATTTACTGGGTACAGAGGAATAACACCTGAGTCCTCAGGAATGGCAACGCATTTGGGGGTATCATGGACGAAACAGTACACTCTGTTATGTCCATGGTACTGCTCATGTCTATAGATGACAGTTACCACTTTCCATCAGGTGGGCCATCAGTTTATTTGCCATTCTAAGTTGTATAAAAAAAATTTAAGTGAAATGTGCGTTAAAATTCGTTACCTAGTTTAGAAAAGTAAACGAAGAAATAGACAGACAGCAAATTTACTTCCTGTTTAATAAAAATTTCATTGCCAATCGCTTACTGACTGACTGACCTATATCAAAGCACAGCCGAAACCGCTATATTTAGAATTTTGAGATTTTGCAAATAGGTTGTTTATATTCGTAGGTGAACAATAAGAAAGGAATTTTGAAAGTTCCTAAACCCCTAAGGGAATAAAACGGAGGTTGAAAGTTTGTAAGAAATTTCATCAATTTAGAAGTTAAACAAATGTTAAATGTTAAATCTAGGCTTTTAAACGAAAAATAATTCATTTAATGGATTTCAAGAATTTCCCCCTAAGGGCGTGAAATAAGAGATGAAAATTAAAAGCGAGCGAAGCCGCGAGCAAACGCTAGCATTATAATAAAAATCAGACATATACATACTCATGAAAACAAATGTTTATATTACGCGGACATCGAACCTATAACCACCACGTAGGGAGACTTTTGAAATACAAGTATTATTTGGGATGAAGAAGGACATGACATTTACCCGGTGATATGAACGAACTTGCGAGTAACAGTACAACATTTTTTTTATATTGTAAATAAGAGGTCTCAAAAAAATCAAAAAATCTGTAATAAAGAAAATGCTCTAGACTGCGAGGTATGTATTGAACACATTCTTCTGCGAACATACTCTCAAGGGAAAAATACCGTTAATAACTTAGGATTTTGTTCCGCCCTTCTCTTTGTCGAATAAATTACACCACAAACTGATTGAAGTTTAAATAGACTGAATTTTTGTATCAGCCGTTATTTGTCCACTGCTGAACATAACCTCACCCAAAAGAGGGGGTTTACCAGTAGTCCCCACGCTTGGCAGGCGGGTTTGCAACCGCAGTTTGGCTTTTGGTGATGTTTTAAGAGGGACGCTGCTGCCCATCCCTCCACCATAAGCTCCCTTAGTCACCTCTTACGACACCCACGGGTAAGGAAGGGTATTCTATACCGGGACCTATACGGCTAAACATAAATTAATATTTTATAATAAATACTTTTAACAAATAACGGCTATTAGTTAAAACGGAAGCATGTTGATAATAAAAATAAATACCAAATTAGTTTATAGTCAAGTTTATGATCAGAATTGACAAACATATAGAATTGAAAAATGTACATTTTGCTTCACAAATTAGAAAAATACTACAGCAAATCAAATATCCAACTATTAAAAAAAAATGTTGACAGTGTCACACAGGATAATGTAAGGATATACATACATTAATATCTGTTCAGGCATTTTAAAATATTATGGCAGAATCTTGTTCTTAGGATAGAATAAAAAAACTGTCATACATTCATGAAGCCTGAAAACATTACACACCTTTTTGGGCAGTCGTATAACAAAAAGATATAAATACTGACAAAACTCGCTTGAACAAATTCAGTGTTATCAACCATAACCATTTTGTACACAAATTCTAAAGCTGTCCACACACCGTTGTTAAAATATTTTTTTTAGCCCACATAGTTCTTATTTTGAGTTAATCCCAACATTTTTTTGTTTCGAAACCTGCCGTATAACCACATCACGTCTGTCCCAGATAACTTCTCTCGTAAATATTTCTCTACAAACAAGGGTTGAAAGGAAATTATATTATGTCGCTTATATCATAACAGAACAATGTAAATTTCAAATTATATTTTTATTGTAAATATATTGAATTTTACGATTTCATAGAACTGTCTCACTACAATTACTTTAAATTGATATGTGGATTTTATAAAAGCTATATTTAAGCCGAATATACATAAAGTACTTAACGAATTTGGAAAAAAACAAATAATATGCTCCCGATTTTAACCCTTAAAAGTGTAGTGAAATAAGTGAAAATACCTTTCACATTTATCTGCAAAAAGCAAGGGAAATAACGGATTTTTTTAATTTTAGTTCTAAACAAGGGTTTTACACATATTTTTATTCATGATTAACTTCGTCATAAATTTCATTCCAAAGGTTAACTAGTCGAGAATGCTAAACACTAAGTATAACTTTAGGATTTTAATATTATCATTTGGTCAAATATAATTATTCAAATAATTTAAGATTTTATTCCACAAAAAACAACTGAATTCAATTGTAGCAAAACCAGTTATTTCAAATCTAAAGTTCTAAACGAATTTTAATAAATTTCTATAACACATTAGTTCTAAAGAATTATATTATTATTTTTTATATGAAAGGATTAACTTATTACAGATTACTGTAAGTTAATCCTTTTAGATAAAAAAATAATAATTTTGCTGATCGATTTGTAACTGATGGAGTAAAACATAAAAAAATACAACCGAATTGAACCCTCCTTTTTGAAGTCGGGTAATAAATAAATAAACGTGTGTGTCACGTGTATACCGAAATGTAGTGTAAATAAGTTATTTTCCACACATACAATTTGTCTAGGAACAGTGGCGGGATTCCTAGACGACATGCATATTAATATTAACAACAATATCTTACAATAGATATTTTGTGAATGTGTCATATCTAATTATTTAACTTCTCATCATTGGATATAGGTACTAAATATAAAATATGAAAATATGAAAGCAGTCTAAAGAAATATTACCAACAGTTTAACGGGGATACCAAGATAAAGTAACTGTGGATGATAATTTTAGTCCAATTCATGAATTAAATATCAACACAAAAATATACCTAAGAGCTACATATGATGATCCCTAGTTTGCAGTCACTTCAAGAAGTATACTTATACTATATACTTATAAGTATTTATTAGAATTGTTCTAGCAAAATAAAAAATTTTTGATGTTTAATAAAAATAAAAATAATTCAAATCTCTCAAAACTAAAAGCTGTTTTGAAAACAAATATAAGTGACATTTTAGTACAGTTTGTTTGGTGTGACAAATGTGTGTAGTAATAAAGTTTGAATCATATAATAATACACAAAGCGAACTCGGGAGAGAAACAAAGCACTATACCTAACATACCAAACCACTAACTTGGTGTTGTAAATAGGCTCTAAATTAAATATTTTAGATCATGGCACATCTAAAGAGAACTTTCATATCCTTTAAAAATTGTTTGAAAATTTAATTAATTTTTTTTTAAATTAAAATAAGAGAAAAGGCTAACAAACGAAGCAAGTTAAAGGCTTCTCTCAAAGAGACGGTTACTACCTGTATACATAGATGTAAATTAAATAAAATTTTAATAAATTATACAATGAAGGGTTCATTCAATATAGCTATATTTATTCATCACTAAGGAAAGAAGCATTCGTATAAAAAAGTAATAAATAAAATTTTGTTCCAGAAAAAAGCAAACTTTATTCGTGACAAAATTAATCCGAAACCAAGATGGCAGGATTTTAGTGAAAATATTGCTCATTATATACACACGTACGTCAGATGTTCTCAAACTTTTTCTTGTAAACCTGATTTCTCGTAGACCCTCTGCTTTGCCTATTTAATTATGACTTTTGTAAATGATGCAAATTCTAAAGTTTAAGTTTTGTAATTACTATACAATTCAATTAATATGTAATTAAACTAAATAGTGTTAAAAAATTCACTTTACAATTAATGATATTGTAATATCATTAATTATAAAGTGAATTATAAGTACCGAATTATGAAAATATATAAGTTTGTATTTTTATACGAACTTTTACCGCAGTGTCACCATTGTTTAAATGAGGTCTAATATCATGGACTCCCATTTACATAACATCATTTTTGATACCCAATTTTTTTTCGCTGACTTAGTCCACATGCAAATAAAGATAGTTGCTAAACCCCCGGGGTCGTTACGGCCCACTTTGGGTACCACAGACGTACACAAAAGAATATACAGACGAATTGAGAACCTTTTTAAGTTACTTAGTTAAAGTTGCCGTGTGGTCCAGGTATAGAATAGATCGCTCCTTTCTTTCCAGTAGTAAAAGACGTCTAAGGGGTGTTAATGGTCGAGGGATGGGCAGCAGCGTTCCTCTTAAAATATCACCAAAGCCTAAGTACGGTTATCAAATTGCCCGCCAAGCATGGCAACTACTGAGAACCCCCCTTATGAGGGAGTCTTATGTTCAGCAATCGACAGTTAAAGTCTGGTATGATGATAATGAAATAAAATTCATAATTTACCTGTGGCAAACTGCACAATAAAGCTATCATCCAAGCAAATGACAGCATCATTTTACTTCTCTTACGGGCGATCGCTAGCCGAAGTGGATACAGTATGGCGAAAAATCTGAAACAAAAACGTAAATTTTATCGGTATGTATTTTCAACCGAGTAATAATAAATATTATATTACATGTAACAATAACATGTGAAGAATATTTTATTGTTTTGTCTTTCGACAACGACAAAATCGATTATAAACAAGCATATTTTGCTTGTATAAAAAGCTGTTTTGATCATAAATACACAAGCATAGATTGAGCATAGTACCAGAACACAAAATAGAACGACAAAATAATTATAACCGAATTGAGAAGCTCCTTCTTTTTTAAATTAGTTGAAACAAATTTGAATTCTACATTCAAATATTTTCAACTAACTTCAAAAAGAAGTTCTATAATGCATACGTTCTATACGTACAATTGTATTTTTATAAACTTATTTTGTTTTACAAATAGCAGTTTTTTGTTGTCACAAAGTTTTTTGTTGGTACAAAGAAATAGCATCAGTCGTCACAAAATTGATTTAAGAGAGAATAAACCCCACCTAACACCAATACTCTACAATAATGCATCCAACATTTATTGAAAAAAAAAATCTTAAAAGGAGAAGTTAAACTTGTAATATAAATCAAAAATTAATATGAATAAAAAGTTTAACAAAGCTAATTTATTCGACTTACAACTCAGCACAATACTGGAAATATACAAGGAAAAACCAAGATTATATAATTTCATATTATGCAGATTGAAATATTTATTTGTCTAATCTGTTATTTTCTTTTTAAAGATTTTACTTTACTTCCAAATAAATATTTATAAATGATATTGATCCTCGTAAACACAATATTTCAAAAATACGCACTTACATTTTTGAACTGAATGCGTAATATTTTAGTTAAATAAAATAAAATAAAGACTTTTACGTGTAAATTCCATCGCTGTATTTCTACTATCACAATTTTATTCACTTTCATTGCATTCACAAACTGGTAAATTATTTATTTATTTCTCAGGTCTCAATATCTATTGAGCGTACGTCAACAAAATATATTTCGTGAACATTATTAATTCATTAGTGGCAATGAATTTGTATCCTGAATATTAAACAGCTGTAAATTGGAGGTCAAAACAGGCTCGAAGTGAATTTACCGAGAACTTATAATCTATTCATTTCAACGAGCAAAACCTTATTATAATATAATAATTTAATATTCTACACTAAAATCAATTTCAATTTCAATCAATTTAATAGCTATATAAAATAAACATAGAACAATACAACTACTAGCCTATATATATAATTAGAGATAAGTAATTAAAAAAAAAAAAAAAATATATATATATATATATATATATATATATATATATATATATATTTAAAGACAGCTATATTATAAATGAGGCACATCTATATTACTGTAAGTATTAAATTTTAGTTTTATATCTATTAACCAAGTACTTTTTTATGCAACTTAGAATGGCAAACAAGCTGACTGCCCACCTGATGGAAAATAGTAACCGTCGCCTATAAACATGAGCAGTACCATGGACATAACAGAGTATACTGTTTCGCCCATGATACCTCCCATGCGTTGCCATTCCTGATAACTCAGGTGTTATTCCTCTGTTCCCTATAAATTCCCTGCCGTATCTCACCCTTCAAAATGAAACACAGCCATGCAAATACAACTAATTCATCGTAGAAACACGAACGGGACAGAGGTGCCTAAGCAAACGACTTTTGTACAAAGTCTCCCTCTGATAAAACGTAGTTATTCTAAACATTCATCATCATCATATCAGTCATTAACTGTCAAATGTTGAACATAGGCCTCCCCTATAGATTAGGGTTCGTCAGTAGTTGCCACGCTTGACAGGCAGGTTGCCAACCGCAGTTAAGCTTTTGGTGATGCTGGTTGATTTTGTTGATTTCGTGATTTTAAACATTAGTTTGAAATAAATTTAAAAACAAATTGAAATTTTGTTGTCAGTGATCTGTAACATCATTTTTTAAAAGAATACTTGAATAAATTAATTTTGTGAATATGTTTTGAGTGAATGGTGAGTCTAAGTATACACATATTAAGTTCTTTGTGTAAATAACATAATATTTTTGCTAAAAGGTTAATAAAAAAAATATTTTAAAGATAAGTTTATGAAAAAGGTCTCCAGATATAAGTCCAACTAATTTACTTCTTAATGGTTAATAACTAAATATATAATAATATTTTCACCAAAAATTCATATAAATGAAGATTACATGACACGATTATAAAATTTTCTTCAATTATTATAATACGATATTAATTTATTTTTATATTTAGCTGTGTCTACTTCCACATTCATAATATAACTTCCTTATTCATAAAAAAAAATACGTCCTACAAACATATTTAAACTATTACAGTATTTTGTCACCGTCTCTCAAATTGAGAATTTAGCGCAAAACAAATGGACAAAACACTTCAATAGCTTGCTAATTTACTAAAACTTGCTAATTTAACTTTCATTCATTAATTATCGTATTTACCATACTTACAACTTCGGTTATATGTATATTTCTCTATAATTTATAATGTAACTTTTAAAATATTTGTAGCCTTGTATTACCTTAAAAATTGTTTATTTCATATTGTATAATTATGTTAAAGTTAATGCTGTGGAATAGCTTATTGTCTCGTATTTCATGTTCGTTATATATGTTATAATCCAATATGCTATTCGCGTTCCTATAAATAAGTTTTTATGAATAAGAGCTTTAGTGTATACACATTGTCCTCATAACCGCGATTATTAGAACGACCGCAATAAATAATAAGTTATGATTTTCTTCATACCGAGTACTAAATACATATATACTAAATGGCACTATGACGATGAGAGTAAGAAGAAAGATTGGTAATGGGAATTAGTAGCTCCATTGTTAGCAATATGTCCTAGCAGGTCGATCTCCATGCAGTTCGCTCTGGAAAACGCTGTAGTTATTTCTTAATAAATTATCCACAATGGGCTCACTAACCAGCTTCTATCCTCATCTATCAAGTATACTGTGATTTATTATCAATATAAAATAGTTTTTATCAATATAAAGTTTGTGATAGTCGTTTTATTCATTCACATTTTTTTTTTATTTGAAAAAGGTAACGACTTAATTTCTTTCCCGTTCTTCTTAGCTAATATTGAGCGGTAGATTTAAAACAAATAAATATTCAAAAATGCTTTTAATTAATTTTACTTGAGTAAAAATATTTATATTTATTTATTATCATCCTTCACTAGTACCGCTTCTGATATTAATAGCACTCGACATTAATTAATTTATACAATGTGATACAAAAGACTGCATTATAATTAAGCAATCTCTTCTAGGTAATACTTAAATAGAAAACATTGAGAAAAAAGACAAAATGTAGTTGGCGCACTATCGTCCATATAAGAAAAATATCACGAAGATAAAACGTCAAAGGGCATCGTACAAAGTCACTTTGACATTTAATATAATAATTTTAAGGTTTTTTTATGTACTACATTTATCATCATCGTCGTCATTTTAGCCATTATCCGTCCACTGCTAGGCATAAGCCTCCCCCATAGACTGCCATAAGCAATAGTCCTGAACCAGCTGCATCTACTGACTCCCTGTAATGCATTTCAGGTCGTCACTCCGTCTAGTGGGAAGGGAGATCGTCCTACACTGTGTTTGCCCCTACGGGGTCGCCACTCAAGAACCTTTCTTCCCCATTGGTTGTCGGTTCTTCGAGCTATGTGACCAATACATTGCCAACATCCGCAAAAATACCAAAGTAATTAATATAGCCCGAAGGACATTATTTATACTGGTAGAGAATGCTACTAGCATTAAATCCGCCTTTGTACCTTATTTTGTTTTGGTCAATAATGTTATTTAAATAAATAAATAAATTTGTTTCTTTTATCCCTCTTGTTGCTATCAATAATTATGTAGGTATCTCCATAATTTATAATCCTATTACATAAAAATAAATAAGTAATAACCCAAGAGGTATTTTGTCGATATTTCTATAGTACTTATGCCTAATCATTCTTTTTGAAAACATCTATTATTTCCGTACTAAGCTGTTTTTAATGAGATACGTGTTGATCTAGGGCATTACAGAAGTTATCTACTTACGAGTAACAGGGCGGCTATGTTATTACGTTTAAACGTTAAGTATTCATTATATAAATATATTGTTCCTTTGTGAATCAAAAAATTATTTGTTGCAAAGCAAAATCTGTGTAAACATTCGATTTCGCGTTCTAAATTCAAACGACTTTTGTTTCATATATCTACACCCGTATATTTTGTGATTATTGGAAACCTTGTTTTTATTTAGAGCAAATATACTTTTATTATTATTTCACACCTAATGAAAAATAATAAAAAATTATATCCAGAATACAAATTTACGCAGTATCGTTATACTACCAAATAGGTATATAATATATCCTGCTAAATCTATTTACATACAATATTATACTGAATCAAAAAACTTATTTATTTATTTATTTAAACTTTTAAGCACAGTGAAATTCGACGTACATTTAGCGGAATTAACACCGGACAGTGTCCTCTACCAGTCAATCATAAGACAAACGAAGAAAGAAGTAGGCGGTGCATTATAAAATAAAGGAAAAATAAAGCAATACTTGATATCTCGCGCAAACAAAGTAATAGGCATAAACTAGTGTCACATAAACTACTCGTTTCAATAATCATTTTATGTTTATAGAATGAAAATTATATATATATATATATATATATATATATATATATATATTGAAAATAAATATATTACTTCATATTTTAACTTCTAAAATATAATCATAAAATCTTGAAGATAGTGAAGGACAGTAAACAGCAATAAATAGTTTCTATAAATACGAAAACAATGCGTCCATAATAGTTTTTACGAGTACAACAAATAATTCAATAAGCTAGTAATTCCTAAAACCAATCACGAGTTTGAGACATTTTTAAAAGTTACAAATCCTTGGAATCCTTTTTTTTTTTTTTTTTAAGTAAGCAGTATTATTTGCTTCCTTT